ACATACAAGAAACCGTAAACAATGAACAAGAGATCACCGGTTTATCCCAACATCATCCTTCAGGGAGTATATCCGAGCGGGCCCTTTTCACTCCATTCTGGCCTTCCATTTTTACTGAACCGTTAATTTTTTAAATGATAATGAAAAAAACTGCAATAATTATGCTTGTCAGAAGGCACCAAATTTCACTCACACGCACGAGATAATATGCAAAAAACACCAGAAAATTAGTATAATCCAAAAATCAATCACAATTAAGCAAATTACCAAATATATGCATGCATATGAAAACTGTCATGATGATCACATCAAGAGCGAAATGAACATCGTCTGTTTGTCCGTATCATTCATCACAACAAACAAATGGCAGTATGCATCAAACGGACAGTGAAAACAAAACGTGAATCCCGTGAACAGTGCGAAATTTAATCGACAATCTTATCCCGTCCTTGGAAGGCGAATGTTTTAATGACCATTTTTGGTGAACTTAGACCCTTTGGATTGACGACTTCTGAAAAAAGTTCTCCGATAAATTCTAGCTGAGGAAGTATTCTGAGGGGTACATATTCGCCATATATCATCGTTTTCCTTGACCGGAATAGTGGTGGCAATCAGACGAAATTTCAGATCGGTCGGAATCCGTCCGAATCAACATTTCAACATTCCAACATTAGGAATTCCGATCGAATTTCAAAATTCTTCCTTCAGAATCCGATGGAATCGACTTTTCAACACCGATATTCGGAATTTCGATCGAACTTTAAAATTGTCTGGTCGGAGTCGGAATCTCGGAATTCTAACCGAACGGTGCCGTATACATCGTATATCAGTATCGTATTTCGTAGGCTGTCGATTCAAACTCATTCGCTCATTCAAAATTGCAATATATTGCCGTATGTATTCGTTTTCACCGAAATTTATGGGATTTTTCCGACCAAACGTCGGTCGCATGTCATCACAAATTCTGAGTCGCATTTTCCCCTGTCTAAGTCGTATATCTGCGTTTTTACCGTTGACACTTTGACCATACCGTAATTTTAGTTATAACCATTGTTTTTAAAAATCGCAGACGTTTTGGCGAGATCACTTTTGAAAGATGCCTGCAAATATTCAAACCAAAATCGGATCAGCACTGATCTCTCCAAGCTTTACAAAGAGAGATAACTGTGTGCAACACTTCTTGTGCAATTGTTCTGTAAAAAGCAAGAAACTTTCGAATCGCTTGCTATTGTCGCAATCCGTTCATGTATGTCTGTTCCTCTGACTGCCTAACTTTTTCGCAGAAAATGCCGACACCCTCGACGTGAAAGTGAGTTGTGCAGCAGATTCCGAAGGCACATGTAGGAAGAAACCAAATCGAAATTGAACATTGGTGTGGGATGACTTCGAGGTTGAACTCATCGCAAGTCTGGATTGAGTTTCGCCTTGATTTGAGGCTGCCCGCAAGTCGAGACTCATCCTCATCTTGGGTTCTGTACGACGTTTTCCGCTATCGATGTGAAGTGATTTTGCGGTATGCGGTCTTTATCGGCACCTTCCATTGTGAATCGGCTAAATAGCATCCTGTAAAATCCACATAATGTATCCGTCTGTAATTGGAATGAGCTTGTTATTGAACCTATTTCGGGTGTATTTCGCAGGCTGTCGATTCAAACCGTCATTCACTCATTAAAAATCGATTCGCCTACCGCGATTTTTCCTTGCGTGATTTGCTTTACAATTATATCACTTCTTTACCTGTCAGCGAATTTTCAGTTGGAGTCCGTTGAAAACTAGACCTCAGTGTCACGTTCATATTATCACTTTGTCGGTTGATGGGTTACTGAATCTCCACGTTCATATCGTTTACAATTGATAACCACGTTTGACTTATGCTGTAATCACAAAATGAAATTGCTCACTGATTTTGTTCCTTATGATTATCTCGAATTAGCAGTGCTTCGTTGAAACTAAGTGAACCATAGTGTGAACCGGTTCCGATCGAACGAACTTCTCGACTCTAGGTCTAGGTTGATGTGCTCTTTCTGCTCAGTCATTTATGAATAAGCTTTCATAGTATCAAATTCAGTTCACTTATCCACAACGCATTGAAGTTTTGATTTACAATTGGTATCGTGCAAAACGGTTGAAAAAATACCAGTGTTATTGATTGGAAACATCTTGAGATTATTTATTTTTAAGTGGCTACTAGGTGTTTTTACTGTTAGTGTTGTTGTTTTGGTATGAGACTGATGGAACGCATTTTGATGAAGACGTTGGTAATTTGGAATGGTCATTCGTTTCCGTTTGCAAATTATCTTTTCAGTTTAATTTGAGGCGAATTTATTTGACGTGAAGAGTGGTGTGTTGTGAATGGAATATATTTTATAAATATTTACGAGTTGTTTCACAATGAATGAAGAAGAGAAAGAAACTGATCCTAAAATAATAACATCTGTTCAACAAAACGCGGATCATATGAATGGTACTTGACTTATTTCTTTTGATTCGTTGACTAAGTGTTGTTTGAACAATTTGATTAAATATAATTTAATTCATTTATAATTTTAACTTATTGTTTCGAATTGTGTAGAATATATTGTCTGAATGCGGAAGCTCAGAAACTGAAAGACCGAACTCATCATTCGAAAGGGTTGAAGAACCGAGAGACTGTGGTGCTGAAATGTTATTTTTCCATTTGCTTTCGCTGAGGCTTGTGCTAAGGTTTACATGGGACGTAGGTTCAACATTGTTTGCCAAATTGTACTCCAGCATTCGGTGGATGAAATCCGAAAAAATTCTGATACTCTCTAGACATGATTCGTTGACGCGAATTCTAAGTTCTCTGATAGAAGTAAGTGAATTTTGTTCGTTGTGGGAAATTTCAATGTTCACTCTACTAGTGTGCTCTCATTTCTTCTAATTTAAACTCAAGCTGCTGGTTGATCTCTCCCAATGGAAATGAAACATCAATGAATGTGACTGTTTTGAGATAATATAAAGGACGTCAAGGAATGTATTCACAAAAACAAGAAAAGCCTTTTCAAGTCAAGTGAAGTTCGTAAGAAGTTGAAGTCGAATTTGAAACGAAACATATCAAACGATTTTTGTGAAGAATGTGTTCGACTTGCGAGCAAATCTCCGTTTCCTGCTGTAAGTCAGCAAAAAAACTGTTTAATATTCATTCGTTACTCTTTGTGTTATTCCGAAATGGTTACATTGATAATCATCCTATCCCGTACACGCGTTTTCTGAAGCTTTCCACTCTTACGGCAAGAATATAATCAAAGAAATATTCATGTTAATGATTCAGAAAATACTGAGCGTTATAAAATTATTGAAAGGAAATTAAATGTTTTTTTTGCGTACAACTTATCGATCGTAGAAGGTGATGATTGATCGATTACCAACTGTTTTCATATTTTTCTCATTTGTTGGAGAGCTTAGTTTTGTTTAATTTACGAAACTGAGTTATTAAAGATGATTATGTTAACATGATCAGTGTGTTGTGCGGAAGGAAAAGTAGGTCGAGGAACGTCGTAACTTGCAACACATTAATTATAGAATGAATTTGTGTAGGTTTGGTTGTGTGTATCGTGCGGTTATATGGGATGTGATAGCGACAAAGAACAACACGCTCTTAAACATTGTAGAGCAGTTCGATCCGGTGTCGAGCATTCACTCTTCTTCTCACCTGCCAATAAAACATTTCGGTTCGTTATCGTCTTTTTTCAAATTCATCAGATTCCGTATGCAATCAATTTGTTCAAAATTTCCGTTCAACTCGAGTATATCAATGAGTTTAATTTGAATAAATGTCATTCACGTTCTGAAAATTAAATTTAACCAAACAGTAAAGTATGCAAAATGAGATTTGGTCGTTAATGTTTAACTGAATGAACTTGATTTAATCATTTCTTTTTTTAGTTAATGTTTAAGACTGTCGTTTCGTTTTCATACTCATCGTTCCGAATGTGTTTCAAAAGACGAACTAAACAAAAGTTCGATCCTAGTTGAAGCAAAACTTCATCTTGAGACGATGACCACTAAATGATAACTTTCAATATTCACGCATATAAAATGCCTATGCATAGTATTCTTGTGAATAGCACACTGACGTAGAAACGCGAATCATCTGAAAGATCATATTTGGTTGCAGTATCATGAGATCTTCCATTTTGTTGTTTGAATTCGTATGGTGTGTCCGGTAGTTGGGTTTGTTCATCAAAGGTGCTCTGCTGACAAGTTCAACTGTGCTTGGACAGAGTGATAAAGTTAATTTCAGGTGTTTTTCGTGTGAAGTGAATGTTGATGTGGTTGAGGAAGGAAATCATCCAATGAAATCATTCATAAACGAATATAATTCATTCATGAAAACTAAATCAAAAAGTGATGATCACCTAATGGCTGATGCGGCGAGTACAACAAATTCCACATCGGAAGAACAATCGTCAAGCAATACCATGCCAATTAGTAGTGCAACCAAAATAATAAATTCATCGAAGAAAGAGAAGGATAAAGATAAAAAAAGAATCGCAAAATCTTTCATCGAAAATAGTCTCAAAAAAGAAGACAAAAAGGGTGCTTTCGTTCCAGTCAGAGTGAGTTTTCAATAATAAAGTTATCATGTAGTCGTAGTTGATGTGTAAAACGCGTGATTAGTTGCTGATGGTCAGTTTATTTTGGAAGTTGTTGGTTTACTTCATTTGAGACATTTGTGATTTTTGTTTGAGCATCGTTTGAAATGGTGTGAATTAAGAGTGAAAAATATGCGAAATGCGAAATGAGTGCGAAATCTTTAAGTGAATTTATTTGGATATTGGGATGAGGTGATAAACTATTGATGAATAATTTTGAAGGGGTTGGTAAATCTGGGTAACACATGCTTCTTTAATTCAATAGTACAATGTATGCTTCACACGAAGGCATTATCATTATATGTCGAATTGGTTGGGAAACAAACTTCAGTCGACATACCTTCGATGAAGGTTTTCATTGCGGACAAAGCAATACAGGTTGATTTAAAGTTGAGTATTGTTTCACTCTTTATCATCTGTTTTCCATAAATTCTTTCGATTTATGATAGATCACTTCCATTCAGTGGTTATTTGTTGTTCATAATTCATTTTATAATTGATGAATTGCTCAGAAGATAGATCGGATGCGTGAGTAGTCGTTTATTTTTAGTTTTTGAAAATCAAACGATAACTTTCATTTCAATATCGTTTTATATCAGCAATTTAACTAACGTTTCGTTCGGTAATGTTGGTATTTTTAGTGCAGTTATCATTAAGATCGTTTTAAGAAGTGTACCAGTCACTGTTCAGGTACCAAGTGTTCATTTGGAATTAGAGCCGTTCAATGGTCCACTGAACGAACATTTTGCATATTTTCTTCGTGATTTTCTTGCCGAAAAAGCCCTTCATCCTTCGTCATTATTCAGTGAAATCGCCAAAAAGTATCGATTCATTCTTTTTGTCCCAATTTACTTATTTATCAAGTCTAAATGAATACATTTTTCGATAAATGAAAGCATAAGTTTCAAATTACTAGCCGTGAAATTAATGTGCGATCGTTAACAATACTTCGACGGTCTGATATCGCAGGCGAGATGTATACTGAACTCACACTTTCCAGATATTTCCAGCGTTTCGTAAAGTAAACAAATGAACTGCACTGGCGAATGTTAAGAATGAAAATTCAGTGCAAATTTAAAATATTCACTATTGCTGTCTTGTTTTCATAAAACTGTATAATTTTTGGAAATGTGGATTATAAGTTGTTTATGATTCATCTCATTCAATACGTTCAGAGCACCACGTTTTCGTGGTTGGGCACAGCAGGATGCACACGAATTGTTGCGTTATTTGCTCGATGGATTGCGGAGCGAGGAACTGAATCGATACAAAGCAGCTATATCCGATCATCTAAAGTTGCCGAAGAATGTCACTTCCAGATCTGTTCAACCCGATATTGTCGTACTTGCCAAGGTTTTTCATTTATTTATACCTATCAAAATTAATTCTTTGCTGTCATCAAATAAACTCATTACCTGAATTCAATCTGTTTTCTCGTTCCAGTCTTACCCATTTGTATCAGCCATTCGTAATTATTTTAGATTGAGTTTTTGATCTTTGCCAATCAGTGCTAGATTTGTGATTTTTCAGAGTGGCAATATATCATGTTTAATCTGATCAACTTGTAATCAGCTAATGAACTTCAAGTGGATGTCTGCTTACTATCGTCAGATGCTGTTATAATATTAAAATAGTAACCGTAGTATGTAGCACTTCAAATGTAAGTGATAATGAATCAAAAGCTGTAGGGAATGTTGAAAGGTTGTGGACGACCGTTATTGGACGCGGTGTTCGGTGGTACTCTGCTGCAGACGGTGAAGTGTTCGAAGTGTGGTCATTTGTCGAGAACTTTCGAGGAGATGCTCGATTTGTCGTTGCCTTTGCCGTCAACATCATCCAGAACCGTGTTCGGTGCAAGCGCGTATCGAATGCACAAGTCTGCATCCGCAACTCTTAGCAAACATCAGAAGAAGAAGGAAAAAGCGAACGCCAGAAAGGTTTATCACTTTTTTGCAAATATTTTTTTTGTTGAGGTCTACTTAATTTGCATCTTCGCATTCATTTCTACCCGTCCACAATTTACCACTGCAGACTGAGTAGTTTCTCACTGAATATCTTGTGAATAAAGTCTCAGATAATAAAGCAATTTCAGCAGTTGTGGCCATAGATATTGGTTTACGGTGTTTCGATATCTGTAATACTCTGCATAAATTTCAAAACGGATAATTGTAGAGGAATCGACGTAAATCACACGGTGAGAGTGTGTCGGTAGATGGTAATAATGAGGCGAATCATGTGAATGAGACCAATTTGGATATGTCAGGGGAGATGCCAAATATTGATGACGATGATGATGACTTGAATGATAACGATGGAAATGACGACTTACAGAATGATAACGGCATTTCGTCATCTAAAGGTTACTCAATTGCTAATTTGATTCATTATTTCTAAGATTGTCCGATGACAGTTGTTCAATCCATCTTTAGTGCATTTTCATGCATGCCTGTTTGATTGCAGCATAAGCTGTTTTTGGTAGTGAGAGCTAATTGTAGACCTAAATTTTAGTTAGTCGTTCAGTTTTATTCAGCACTGAAAAGTAGAAAAAATCATTGTTATTAAATGATTTAAATCTAGAATAGTTGTCTTTTAATTGAGGTTTACGTGTCTCACAACTAGTTATATAAAATTCAATCCGAAACAATTATTCAGAAGATTTGTGTGATAATTTGAATAAGTCGATGAAATTGAATGGCGATGAGGATATCGACGAGTGTTCGTTGTTGTTGAGCGATACGCCGATTGACGATTGCGCTTCGACACTTTCGTCGTGTCTTAAAGCGTTCACTGCTACCGAAACACTCTCTGCTCCGAATACGTACGAATGTGAGAAGTGCTGTCTTCCGTATAACAAAAAGGTTAATTATCATGTCAACGATTCCTTCAGATCCTGCTGCATATGATCCTTCAAGCAAATTACTTAAATGATTGGTAGTTGCCAGTTATTGCCAACCGATCAAATCATTTGAAAACGAAACGATGTACTGATCATTATTCATCGTGTAGATTTGTAATGGACTGAAGAAGAGAAGTGTAGAAGCATCAAAGCGTTATCTCGTCTATGAACCGCCCGCTGTACTCACGCTTCATTTGAAACGATTTGAACAGGTTTGATATGAATCATAAAATTTTCTTCTCGAATAATTATCGATAAAGATGAAAGCTTTGATCATGTAGTTCGTTCATTTTACTGCATTGCGACGTGGAATGTTCACGATTCAAATGACCTGACCTACTCACAACTTCGTTGTAATATTGTACTATGGAATAAGATCTTGTCAGCTTCAGACTCATTCAGTAAGTGGGCGTGTTTCGACGCGAAAAGTATCCGGGCATGTTGCCTTTCCAGTTGTGCTCGATCTCGCACCGTTCTGCACTCGAATTGCAAAGGTTTCGTTCTGACTGAATTCGATCCACTTGTATCAGTGTAGCCGCCAGTGATTATTAAGCGTTCTCGCCCACGCGGCTCATCTTGCCTAATATCGCATCCCAATCATCTCCTTTCGAATACAGTAGTAGGAGCCATTTCCAAATTACGAATAAAGTATTGCGACAATTTCAAGAAATTTTCATCGTTTCACCGAATTCGCTCTCTTCGCTTGTCGTTTACGCGGGTAATATTGTCCATTGAGAAAGTTTCTGTTAAATGATAAATTTACAGAGGCGATCTTTTTGGCTCGAAGATTTTTTTTGATTTCAGTTGATTTGCATCAAATGTTGAGATAAGCTGTGCGTATATGTAATATAGATAATCCGAATTTAATGATCATTTGAACTAGTATTTTCGACTGATTAATTTCCCACTGTAAGTATGCAATTTTCACTTTCAGTCGTGGAGATTTGAAAATGAATATCATATTTTGAAAGATTTCTCAAGGAGCAATTAGTTGAGTATGAAATAAGGTAAACTTCAGTGAGGCAAAATCGAAACGTACATAGCTTCTGAAGAATTGAGTCCATTCATTTCACTGAAGAAGTAAATGCTGAAATATATGGTGATGATGGCAGTCTCTTTAACTGCACATTGTAATTCTTTTTTACTGCACATTCAGATACTTCGTAGGAAATAAGAATAAAAATGAATCACTAATATGAAATGGTGTTCAGAGGGTTGCGAATGGTTCGAAAGAGGTTTTATATTCACTATATGGCGTCGTATCGCATTCGGGTGATCTATCAGGTGGTCATTACGTTGCGTATGTACGAAGTCGATCCAAATCTCAAATTGCTAATAAATTCTTTGTTGAAGCGTTGAATTCATCCCAGAATCATTTTTTCACTTCAAATGGTGTCAATCGCAATGCACAAAGGTTATTTTTCGAGTATGTTCTCAGTGACGTTCAGATTAAAACGTGCGTTTTATTTGATTATTCTAAACTGAGTACCAATCTTTAAATAGTGTTCAAATTTTGAGAAATGGAATGTTGTAATGTGAATAATTCCATTCATTGTAGCTTCCTTCATTGAGAGTGTTTAAAATTACTACATTTCTTACGTATCCTGTTCACCATAGTAACGAGTTTTTAAAACTTTTTCGTGTTCGCCTCTTTCGTAATACTTCATTTTTTTGTGATGGATTAGCCGGTTGAATGAAATAATTCTTAGTAAGCGTTCAGATAACGTCCACTTGATTGTTTTTTTTTTGCTTATTTCTTTTACGACATTGCAAAAATGTGTTTAACTGATCAGTCCTTAGTAGTTGTAGCTGCAAATTAAAATGACATTGATGCTGCCACAGTTGCGTCACAAACAAAAATCGCTCATTTAGTGTTACAAAAAACACTTCAAACTTGTTTTCTTTTGTTATTCAGAAAAGTTCTTCATATTGAGATGAGAATGATAACAATTTTATGTTTCGTGACAGTTTTTTTTTCTTATTCTGGCTCCTTCTGTTCATTAACCACCATAACGGATGAATAAATTACATGTTGAACATGTATGTAATTTCTTATGATTTTCCTTGACATACGCATTTGTTTTGGTATTGCCATTCTTGCGCGAGATGACGCCAATACGCTCAGTTAGGATCTGATGTAATCGTTAAAGTCTGTTGGTTTGCTACTGAATGAAGTGTGGATTGTATTTATCAGAATGACTATTTTCTAGCGAAGAGAACGATTGCGCGTCACCAGAATCGTCATCGGCGTTGTGCAAAGGTGAATGGTATTACGCAAGTGATAGTCGTATTAGTATTGTTCCTGAGTCGAGAGTTTTAGCTGCTGAAGCTTATATTCTCTTTTATGAAAGAGTCCTTTAATTGTTTTTCGTAACTATAATTAGGTTATTGTTGTTTCGATCAGTGTTTGTGTTATGGCCACATGTAATCTTCATTTGCATATACCATATCGGTAATTGATGATTTTATATCGTATTCAAATATGTTCTCAATAATTTGTTGATGATGTGGAATTGTGGATGTTTATTTGACGATAATATCCAGAGTCGATGATGAACTAGTAAGATTTCGTTACTAACTTGTTAACGCTGTGATTTTTTTCATTATTCATTTTTCTAGTTTTCATATTAAGTGTAATACATAATACATAATTCTAGGAGTATTGTCAACAATATGTGAAAGAGTCAACATGATGTTGTATTGTACTATATTATTTTACAACCAGTTATATTATGTCATATACTTCAGAACCTATTTTATTCGTTACTATAATTCAGTTCATTATCTGATCTTTTGTTCCGAAAGTATCACCCTGTTTGTGATCGATTAGAAACTGATCTGATGTTAAGCATATTATTATTGATTAATATGTTTCTTTTCACTCTTCCAAATTTTTGATTGATAACTCTTATTGAGGAATTTGAACGGTGTTTTCGTAAATACTTTACTGTCTCAATAACTTTGTGAACTCTTCGCACGGAGGCAGTCTCGTGAGATATTCACTCTTTGTGAATTAACATCAAACAGATTTGTTTTGCAATGGACGATTTTGAAAGTACGTCCAAAAATTGTTCGTTTCAAGTAATCTAATTGGATTGCGTTCGCGGAATTGGTTGTTGTTGGTGCGGTGTGTATGATCAGCCAATGGAAGTTATTGCAAATGTATTTTTGGATTTATGTTTTGAGGATTGTCGCATTCTTATTTTNTTTTCGTTTGAACATTTGAACAGTATATGAAGATTTGATGGTATTTTTTTCATGGTGATTCTATTTGTGTTACAATACAAAAGAGTAATGGGTTTTTGTTGATAATTTATGCGTTGATGATACTAATAATAATCATAATTATAATAATGTTGATCACTTTGGTCTCATAAAAGAAATGTGAATGATGCAAATAATTGTTTAAAGGATCATTTCGGAGTTAGTTTATTGTCGTAAATGTTTATTTGTTTTGTCGTTGTTCGTGGAATCGGTGGTGTCTCTTCTAAATGTCTTTGTTAATCTCTTTGTATCTAAATTTTTCCGCCCTTATGAAATAAATTCATTTATTTTCTATTTTGCTTCTCATTTTCATTTATTCGCAACATTTAATTTTCGAATCCAATTACTTCAACAACATCTAGATTACTTTGATTGGTCAGACTATCGAACGTTGGTAATGTTGCTGGCCACAATGCATTTTCATTTGGTCCTCGACTACGCCCTCCTTTGCCTGGTGTTACCGAGTTTCTTCGTAGTTACGTCTTCCATGGTATTGGAGGTCTCTCGAGTGATCTTTTCATTTCCCTTGGATACCACTGCGCGCAACTGCTTAACTCCATCCGTCATCCTTTATTCGTGCTACTTGGTCTGCCCAATGTAACCTTCTCTTCCAGTACTCTGCGATCACGTCTCTTATTCCACTCCGTCGGCAGATCTTATCACATCGGATGTGTTCCAGCAACGATATTCCTAACAAGCATCTCTCCATCGCTCTTCGTGTTGTTATTTAAGCGTTGTTTCTCCCTCTTTGCTATGGCCCACGTTCCACTCGCGTATGGCAGTGCAGATAAAATAAAGAGGTGGACGCGAAGGGATTTGTCTATTTTCTTTTTCGGCACATCCATTATCGAGTTGAACGGCTTCCGTCCAGATCTTTAACCTTCTTCCAATTTCCACCTTCATTTCTCGGCCAGCATTTACCAGTTGTCCTAAGCATGCACATTCATCCACTTTTTCCATTTCATCGTCATCCAGTTTTTTTGGCCCGGTGCAGTGTTTTTTGACCGCATGAATTCTGTTTTCTTGCGATTTAGTCTTAAGCCAACAGCGTCAATTGCAGTGATGAGTTTGGTTAGGATGGCCTTTAATTCATTTATGGTTTCGGCGATAAGCACAATACATTGTGCTGTCGACAAGTATGCAATCTTTGTGCAGTCTGCAAATCGACGATGATTAAAAACCTCAGTCGATTTCTCGAATAATCATTTCAAGATAAACCGTGAAAAGTTGCTTGACAGGATAGCTGGCAAATAGAATCATAATTCTTCAATCAAATCTTCTTTATCTCCCTTCTTATATAGCAGAGTGGTATTTGGTTCCCTCCGTTGTGAAGGTATTCTTCCCTGTTTCAACAGGGATGCTTCAGAAGTAAATGGTTGGCTTATCGGTGTTTTAATGCGAGTTCACCTCTTTGAGTAAATGTATTGGTCCTCGATTCCCTGTTCCTCAAGAGAATTCAGCGCTACTCAATTTAGACGCTATCAAAAGTCACGAATGCTGTGCAGCGAGTGTTTTCTCGCCCGGTCTATTAGCTGTTTCAGGGCGAATATATAGTTCATCGTGTTATAGTTTCTTCGGAATTTTGCTTGTTCCCTTGACTGTTTTTAATCCAGATCTTAAGGTAGTCTTGTGGCTATAATCTTAGTCTGTTTGAGATATTTATTGAAAGATACAGCAACAGCTCTCTAGAAAAAGAGTTCCCTTGCACATTTAATCATTTCTGATCTTATCCACTCGTTTCCAATCGCATTATCATTTTTGGTCAGTTGGAGAACACTCTAGATCTCGCAAACTGGAACTGGTGGCACCTCTTCTGCTTTTTGTGGTGAAGGGGCTAAGAACCGAGTTAAACAGATTGGTGTAGGAAGTTTTGCGTAGTTCTTCCATTTCACTTTTATGTCTCACTATCTGTACATCATATCTTCTTATTGTTGTGATCTCTGGTTTGTACAGAGCCAATCTTCGCCCGCTTTTCTTCAAACTTTATCTTCCCTCTGCAGCTTCCTTTCATTTATTCATCTTAAGCCTTATGAAGTCCACTTTCAAGTGCTGCCGTATAGCTTTGCACGAGTATATTGAGTATACAATAAGTATACAAACCAACTCTTTTTAATTATTCCTTCTTCTCATCATTCTCTTCTTTCTTCGGATTTCTTTCATTTAGAACACATCGGCTGGTAATCGAAGCCTGGCTTGTGCAACCCTTAAGTTTACCAGTCAGCCAGTTATCGTCTTCATCAAGCTTCTTATAAGTGGTTGCAGTCCTCGCTATCGATGGCGTTTCGCAATGCTATTTCCTTGAGGGCCATGATGCGTTGATTGTTTAATGAGATCTATAGTGCATTATTCTCCAGTGTACTGTCAGTGACACTGTCGCTCGTAATGAGCAGGTCACTGCCTGGGTTGAAAGGTTATCATTGAGTTGTCTTGAAGTAATTATCTCGTGTCAATCACGACATAATCAATATGGCGGTAAACTTTTTGATAATTGTATCTCATGATGAGACGACGGGTTATTTTGTGATTTGTATTTTAGTATTGATTCTTGATTCGNCAATTACAACTCATTGCGAGTTTGTGCCTCTCAGTTATCACCTTCATATCACATTCTTTCTTCCTGCTCAGTCATCTCTGGGTTTATCTCTATTTTTTCTCATCGCATTTGGGTTCCTTAATGATTTGAGTAAATAACAGTAGGATTCGTATACACATTGTCAGAAAACTTCCGAAAGTCGTTTATGTGAATAGTTTGACTTTTCGTGCAGCCAAGTGGTAAATGTGAATGTTTTTGGGAGAACGAAAAATTTTGACAGTGGATGACTTCCTTTCCCAGTTGTTTATTTTTATTGCTAACTTGAATATTTTCTGGCCAGACTCGATTGAGTTGTCAGTGTAATAATGTTACGTAACAGTAAAGTGTATAAACAAAATTATTTTCAAAACTCACAGGGCAATGTGAATAATCGTAAACATTACTTGCTTCCCTTATCGCCTTATCAGTCTATTTGTATCAGTGCTTCTCTTCTTCCGTTGAAATATTATCAAGTGAAATTCGAATGTATTTCATGAAACGGTTACTTCGAGCTTTCTCAGCACAGGTGCTATCAAAAAGGAATTGTGCTTATTCTTTGAAATCAGCCGCTTACTCTTCCACTTTCCTTTAACTTTAACTATGACAGAGTAATTTCAGATATATCTAGATTATTTCGCTCTACCTGTCTCTTATCGTTTTCCAATTACCATTCGATCATTGCTGCCTAATTACTGCTATGAGTATTTGCCGAGCGTATTACAGCGTGCTGCTTATTTCATATATTCATTGCCTTACTGCCTTGTTTTAGCCAGATATTCTCAAATTGATCAATAAGAAGAATTTGCGATAAAGCAGTCTTATTATTGTGATCTCATTGTTGCCTTAAGATATATATTTTTTTCGTATTACTTTCACTCAGCTAAATTGAATGTTGTTGATTAATGCATGTTCGTAATTAGACTGTACATATTTTAAATGCATTCGTGGATTATTCAGCATTCATCTGGGTTTATTTATGTGATGCTCAAGTTGAGTTGATTGATTGTCAGTCGAATATCATAAATCACATATGCTGAGCATTATTCCCGTGCATAAGAATAAGTTATATTCTAACAGTTGCACATGCATACTCTATAGTGGCTCTAATTCATCTGTTGATAATACCTTTTCAGCGATCAGCATTTTCATGCGCATCTCCATCAGTATTATCGATATATTTCACTTCTCGACGTCTTTTCGTTCTCAGCAACTAATTCGAATGTTTTCACTTTACTATAAATTATAACGGTGCTTCGTAAACCAGAATTTATTATTTTGTCCAATATGAACCGTGTATTTGTGTCATAACTTATATTAGAATGCTGACCTGATTTTCGTTTTATTAATAAATAGAATCGCATTACGTGTATCTTAATAACAGTTTAACCAGTGATAATGAAAGTGACTTAAGGTATTTACAGTAGCAATAATAACGATAACGGTACTAATAAGAAAAATAATAACAATTATAATAATAACTGGTAAATAATGATAAGTAACCGTAAATAATAGTAATGATTATTATTGGTAATATTGACAGCGATAATAATAATAATAATATTAGTGCTAATTATTATAAAATGTCATAAATGATATCAGCAGTTAGTGCGACTGTGTTTTTGATTACATTGTACTGTTTATATCCAAATTTTGAACATTGGAATCGTTTATGTGTGTTTGGAAACGTTGAATGTTAATTGAGTGGTTATTAGAGTGAGTGACGATATCTGAATTCGTAATATATCCGATTGATTGAATGTGGAATGAAGAGATTGAAACGTTGATTGTTGAAGATAGGAAGGGAGATGTTTCTACTCATCACTTAGGTGAGATCGTTTCGTGAAACAATATGCACTCGATTATTGAAAGTATTTCCCATTGTGGCATTATGCTTAAAACTTTACCGTGAATTATGTTTGATAATACTTAGTTATTGTATATATTAGTCTGATGCATAAAATAAATGCTTTCATATATATTTTTAAAAATAATATGCAATAATATCATAAGAACATTATTGAATAACTGATATGATCGGTTGAGGTTGAGCTGAGGGCATAATCAGGTTCGAGGCCGGCGAAGGTAGGGGATAAGGTCGGGAATGGGAGATGTTGTGCATGCTCGGGGTTCTCGATCTGATCCGACAGTGCACGTATGTATGAAAGATGGGAAGAGGCGATTGAGAAACGGCTGTATAAATTCACATGTTGTGGTTGATTGGTGGGGTGTTGTTGGAATGCGTAGCGAGCGATTTCCGTAGGCGATGATTTAATTGTTCGGATGAATGCGATTGATTTGGTGAGTGAAATCTTTGATAAGTGGATGCGAGAGAATAGTGTTTCTGAAACATTAATTAATGTTTTCGTATTAAGACTTTATTCGTTTTATGTCAGTTGCGGAAACTATGCCATCAAGTCGTTTCGTGTTGCATTATTTATCATTGATTGTTTCGTTTCGATCCTGGTGATTCCGATACGAAAATGATTTGACGAAGAACCATTGAGTACGGACGGAATCACTTGAAACGCTGAGCTGTTGATGTCGATTCACATCGATCATAAATGATCACCAATTCTCCTACGAAATCGTTTGTGGTATATGTGTTTACTTAGATAGTTATTGTTGCTTATCTTATCGTGCAGTTTGATATGCCGTCGATACAAATGACCACTCCCTGTCAGATAACGAATTTGTGATAAGGTGCGAGTTGTTTGTGTTTTATGACGATTAAATGCCTCCACTGGGATCCATTAAACTATGAAACAATTCTGAACGATCGGTGCATTTTTAAGTGAGTGATAAGCAGCTCATCAAGTATATATGTGCGTCTTTCTGTTATCATTGAAAATCGCTTTATCATAAATCGTTTGATGTTTCCGTTGTGCGTAGCTTTTAAAGAACGTTCGTCAGTGTATGCAATCTTCAGTGCTCACTTGAGTCGCGAATCTGCTTGTTGTCCGCGAATTTGAGAGCGGCGAGAGTGCTGTCACACTCCGCTTCAACGAATGATGCAGAGGGCGGCTAGGATAAGTCAACTCGAAAAAAGATTTCATTATTCGGTGATTTTACTGAATGAATACGACTGTATGTTCTCATCGATTGCTTTCGAAAGTTATCGTGCAGTCTTCTCGTTGTGCTTTGGACACATCGAGCAAGAAATTTATTCCGCGTCTTTGCATCCAGCCGTAAGAATAACTGCTGCTATAAAACGTGCTGTTAACTCGTTGCACCATCGTCGCTAGCATCGTCGTATTGTGTATTGATCTGTTCTGATCGATCAAATACGAACGTTTTTCTTATTGGACGAAAAGTCGTCTATTGAATTGATAAGAGTGTCAATGGAGTGAGTATTTCAACAAATTAATACGCTGATTCTTTTCAGATCGCAATTTTAGGCGCAATAAGTTGGAGTTTTTGATCGAACTGTTGTATGTGCATAACGAATGGATCCTATGCTTGTTAAGTATAATTCGATATTACGCCTGAGTTTATTTATATTTGCTTTGCTGTTGTTACTTTGTAAATGTTGGATATATTCACTTGCTGTGGGCATTGCATATTGCTGCTTCAGTCCGAACACCTTACATCATTTCTCTATCACGATACCACGCGATATTCGGTTAGTTTTTTTNATTGCAAATTTGCGTATTAATTCCATCAATCTATTTTCGGTGATCTATTATCATCAGTTTTTTTCATCAGTCTGTTTTCATTTTCATACGAACTGTAATAAATCATTTCAAATGTTATCATTAATTCCAATCGACATGTCAATTCATTCTTGAACAGACTGATGTTCATGCAGAGATGTATTTTTTCCCTACAAATTGTATGTGACCTTATCATGCAAAAATAATTGCATTGTCACTATTTTCATGCAAAGTCAATTAATTTTTGGTAGTTGAAAAAGGATTTACCCTGTAAAATTAATTTTGTTTCTCACACAGAGAAAAAGATTTGAGATTCAAGTTTCCAACACGCTCTGAAAAAACCTTCATCGGCCTATCGGTGATGAACAAGGATGTATATTCGAATGAGTTAAATTCACCTCTTGCCAACTGAGAATATTATTTTAATGTTAACTTATGTTATCGTAAATGTTCATTTTCCTTCTTTATTACAGAGGTCTTTTATTGTTGATGCGTGTCAAATGGAACATTAAGTGCAGAATGATAGCGAATCGTCCGATGCATGAAATATTTCTGGAAAATGTTAGAAAATGTCCAAATAAAGAAGCGTACGTTGAGATCGGTACACATCGAAGAGTCACCTTTATGCAATTCAACGATCTCACCAATCGATACGCTAATTTTTTCAAGGTTTCACTTCATTCCATTTGTAACAGTGTTCTTTTAACGTGATTATTTTGTTTATGCAAATGCATCCGCTTTATATGTGTGATCGATGTCGCTTCAACGGATGCGTCGTTATGCATTTCAGACGTTCGCTATATGAAAATTAGTCATTGTTCATTTTATTCATCTGAAACTAAGCATTTCTCATTTTGTTTATCTTTAAAACATCACACATGCAAGTTCTTTGCAAAAATAGAAAAATTGCGCGAATCAGTTGGAAAATAGTAATGTCGAGTTTTTTGAGATCATCAACACTGATCGATCATGATGAATTTGATCAGTAACCTTCTCATTTCATTTTTGGAAAACAGCGGAAAACAATACCAAAAAATTCCACCCAGTATTGTTTTTCGCCGTTTTGCTCACAGTAAAAGGAAGGTGTTATTTAACGAATCTTTCTTGTGTTGACACAAGAAACGCTAGAAGTTCAAAGTAAAGCAGTGAAACGAGTAATGCAAGTCCATACCTGTAAAGAAAGAACTGAAATCAGTCGTGTTTTGTTCACAATTTTTATCATTAGTCATTGAAGTAAAAATTCGAGAATTTGATGTGATAATATGCAATCACGTCTTGATAAGGGTGAGCGAATTCAGTGTATAGTTTGAACACATAACGTTTTCTGCGATAAAATCATGACATCTGCTTGAAATCATCACGCGCGATTTCCATTACACAATCCAGCTGTAGTAATTTCCATCCATAAGTTACTGTTCGAAAGCAATTGTTTGGTTGAGAAATACGTGTTTGATACAGATCCACAATTCGAAAACTATTCTTCATTCAAAATTTTGTTCAAATCTGTTTTAGTACTGTGCTGAATGAAATGCGATTGCGAGAAGTGCTACTGAATGTATAGCTGATGTCCTATGAGCATGGTATGAGGCTATACCCAAGAGCACTGCGTTATATTAAACACTAAGCAAACTTTGGTCAACCGCTAAATATGGTAACCCAGTGGTTCTCACGTTCGGGTGCTCCATTGCCCCTTTTGATGATCTACTAGGTCTTCGTTACTCCCTCGCCCTTCCCGCTTCATGCAAGAACTTTCTTTTCTACGTATAAGGTCAGGAACAAACGGAAAGGCGGTCCAGAAATTTCTCACCGATTTTAAATGCAATTTCTGATATTTTATTGCTCTCAGTTTAGTTTGCACGCGGTGACAATGAGCCTTCTTGGAATCATATTTCATGAATCGGTTCTAGGTGATGTCAACTCCCCGGATTTTGTGGACTGATCGTTTAACATTACCATTGCATACGGGAATCGCATAAGTTAAGCGCTGATCTTGTTAGCACGTTCACGATGGTATTCAACATCGCTGGACTTCCTCTTAGACTATGTGTTCCTCACTACTGCAATCGATTGTGATTGCATGAAAAGCTGTGACACGCTTACTTCACGCTTGCTGTCTATGACACGCTTAATTCAAACTGATTTAGATGAATTCTCATTCTTTTCAGACATGTTGTATTCACTCTCATAGCTATTCCATGTGAATAATGTTCGCTTGATGACTTTTTCTTATTCTGTCTTATTTCACTTCACAGTTGGAATCAATTTCTTATTCTGTAGCACATCCTATTTACTGGATACATTGACGAGTGTTGACAGTCGAAATCAACAACACAGCAATCAAATATTATTGCTCAACAATATTTGACAGTCAAATGCCCAATTATAGAGTGTATTTGATAGAATAAGAATTTGGCCTTAGTTGTTGAGTGAAATGAATGAAAAATTAGCAAAAGAGAACATTTTTGGTGATAAAAGTTATGGAGTGATTGCAACAGCAAGGAGAAGAATGAAAAACCTGTTAAAACGAATGAAAACCCTGTTAGGCCTGGACGAACTAATGATACTTAGAAAATAGGAAAATGAAAAGTGTTGCCATCAACCAATCGCATTTATGTGCTCAACTTAAAAAACACCATCATGAAATAACAACTGCGCGAAATACTAATTTCCCGGCTCCCTCCATTATCACTTCACACCTCCAAATTACCCAAAATGGGTAATTTCACCCCTAACAAAGATCACTTTTAAGCAGCCAAATTTGGCAAAAACCAATAAAGAAGCACTAATGAGTCGAAACGTGAAGATGTTACGTATCATAAATTCACTAAGCAACCATTTACGATTAGCATTTTGAAGTTTAAACGATGATCTCATGTAGCTTAACTGTTAATTGCGTAATGTTTACAATTTCCGGCAGTGGTATTCATTGCTCAACGAAAATATGTGTAGTAAGGGGAGAAATTTTCGAATTAAAAAAGTTGGAACTCTGAAAAGTGCAGTTCCCAGTTTTAGAAAAAGAAATCTTTTGTTGTAAGAACAATCTGTGTAAAATTTCGTCGGAAAAAACAAGAAAAATGAAAAGGAGTCTTATCAGTTTTCCTCTCGCCACAGATGCATTAATGCACGAATTTCGATTTTGGAATTTTCTTGGTCTCTTCATCCAGAAGAGTGTTTTTTCGGTCGGAAACAACCCAAGTGAAAATTTATCGAAAAAACTATATTGAAAAGTCTCATCGGCTACCGTATTCTCAGACTGGTAGAACAACAATTTGACGCATCTTCCTTGCCTCTCAGAATAAGTTTTTTGAAGCATGTTTTCAGATGGTTCATATTTGGGTTAGAAGGTATCTTGTTGATACGCCATTACAAAGGCTGGAAATTCTGGAAATTCCAGAAACCGCCATTACAAACTAATTTTTCGAAGCGAACTTTCGCATAGGTAGTTTCGGGATCAACTGGCATACTATTTTGAACCGGGGCCTGAGAAATTCCGATTCGAAAAGAAAATTTTCTCATTAGTGTGCCGTCAGTAAAATAGCATAAAAGGCGTAATGGGATGTTGAGAAATGAATGGTGAAAATTACATCGGAATTTGATAACCATAGAGTGATTATAAAAACACAATAATGCAACGAAATCGAATTGAATGAAGATTTCTTTGTGAAAGTAGAAACAATAGACTGGAAAATAAACATCCAAATGCCTGTGAAAAATCATGTCAGAACTTTTGTTTTTGTCTGGAAGAATGCGTGAATTCAAGATGAATGACGAGTGAAATTGGAGAGAGCACGAAAATAAGAGCAATGAAACAAGAAAGGAAAAGAAAAATGATGACATTAAGGATGCGATAATATTACAGTAACCATAGTAGGGACATAATTCCTGAAGTATGTGCAGTTTTATGGACGAATTAGCAATTGTTGCACGCTGATGTAGGATAATCAGTTGGGAAATGATATGAATTTTATTAATGTGATAGCTTCAGCAGTTTGCTGTGTTTAATGTACTTGACATGCAAAAATGATTTATCATTATATCACCGTCACATTGAACAGGCTTTCGTTCATGATAAAGGGTCATTGCTGATTGAATAAATCGAAATCGCATATTATGTAAATTATTTCGTCGTTGAGATGCATTAAGTTCATCATTATCTATTACTTTCTCAGATCGTCATTATTATCCATCATCATTTGAAACAGACCAATATCGTTCAGCAAATAATGAAACGTTTTTGTTTTATTTCATCGATTTTTTTTGTTTCGAAGCTTCAAAGCACATTAAGCTTCAAAGCAATCTCCCATTGTGATCTCTGAACATAACCGCCCGCTAGTGTTTGATGGACAGTTGTGTTGGATTCGAACATAGTACCATAATTATAAATGCATGAAAAAAGTATAACTGTAATATTTCAGGATGAAGGATATGAATTTGGAGATGTGATATCGTTATTTATGAGTAACAGTATTGATTATGTTGCAGTCTGGATGGGTTTGAGTAAATTAGGCGTTATATCGGCATGGATTAATTCGAATCTCAAATTAGAATCGCTCATTCACTCAATTAAATCATCAAATTCCAAGGCTGTCATTACAACGTCTCAATTACTGCCTAGTTAATTGCCATCATATTTGTTTATTTTAATGCACCATTTCTCTGTTATTCGGTAATTGTTATCAGTGTTACGATTAGAATACAAACAGATAAACAGAAATGTCAGTAAAATGATCAAAACTGAAATAATCAGGCTGAATAATTTGATGTGATGATCATCGTGTCATCCTATTCCATAATTTTAGTTGAATTTAAGTTGCTTTTAGTTTTATCGCTTTTTGATCACATTTTATTGGATATTTATTATTTCTCATTTATGATTCTCCACATCATCAGTTGCAATTGTAGTAATAAGATCATTGATATTGGTAAAAGCATTCACGAAATCGTAACACTAATTCAACGCTTATATTTCAAATTCAGTTTGTCATTTACAGTTGGTGAAGCCTCTGAATGCAGCCTTTTAAGCATTTATGAGACTGTTTTCATATCGTTAACTTTTGCAGCGCTGGAGACAGTATTCGGAAATGGTCTTATGAATCAATGCAAAATATATGTCATCGACACAACAGCTGAGAATCATCTGAATGTATTTCACATAAAGGATAAGATTTTAAAACAGAAAGCGGATGAGCCAAAATCTCCATCATCGCTTAATTTTCAGTGTTTGTGTTCCCTCTGATATTCATTTCATGCAATTTTCACTCATTTCATTTCCTGTCCGATTTCCGAATTATTATGACAATACATTAATAGTGTTCATCTATGACTTGGATATGATCTGTGATTTGAAATTTGATACACTGACAGTTTATGCGTGCTTTTGGAGTACAAAAGCAGGTGCTCAGTCACTCGCTGAATTCGTTCACTCTCACGTTCATTATTTAAGACGTGGACCGATGCGTTGATGAAACTGTTTAGTGATATCATCTTCACTGAAATATTTATATCACGTTTTGTTAACTGGTGATATCAATAATCACGTTTTGTTAATTTCAGCTATTCTTTGCTACATCTACACATCTGGTACTACTGGCCACCCCAAACCAGCGATTATTAAACATTTTAGGTAATCTCTTGAATTCATCTGTTTGAATTTGATTTCAAAAATTATTTATTTAGTAACATTCATCAATGCTTTTAAAGAACAAATGAATTGAATTGACTCATCGAAGAACGATCTATTATATTCTTAAAGTAAATTATACGTGATGAGATGAAGTTCCGTCAGTTTTTCAATCCGAAAATGAAACCATTGAATCATCTCGAGAAAATCCAACAGAAAATGGAGTATATTAGAGACAAATTCTTTGCAATTGAACTGTCATAAAGATATTGTTCATTTTGGATCATCCGTCAAAAAATTTGATTCTGAACACATTTTGTTGAATATATTTTGTCTATAAAATGAAGACGAAGATGATTTATTGGAAATTCGAATACTTTTGCTAATTAGTGCCGCAAGTTTGGTTTTGAAAAATAACGAAAATTCTTTGCGTTGTATACTGATTCAACGCAACGAACCATTCAAAATATTATGGAAATGCTCTTATAGTAATTAGTCAACTACGCTAGGTCGTTTTCACAAGGATACTCCTAATTGCAACTATTCGAAATCTGAAAATGTCCGACCAAAGCCCATCCCGAACTTTTTGTTCAATTGCAAACAAAATTTTCGCTGGGAATTCCTACCACCATATTGCACAGCCAACGATAAATCTGCCTCGGTGCGATATGTTTTGCAACCTCCATCACTCTGTTCTGCGGACATTGGCTTTTTATGACTTCTCTGCAATGCTCAAACTCGGAATGACACATCAAAAACAAAGCTCTTTCGATATCAAATGAGACTGAAGTAGAATGTTGGTTCGAACTAAAAGCGATATTAAGAGATTTCTCGAAGGTACTTTTGTAATGGTGAGCTAGATGTATGTGGTTATGCAGTATCTTAGGAAATCGCTTAACGAGGAATGCGAAAGCGTAGAAGATAACTTAAACAGTTGCAGAGAAGAGTTAGATCGGTCGTGACTCCTTGATTACACCTAGGAATAGTGTTCGTCGGGGAACGGGGTCCCCGTCGGGGACCCCGGCGGGGAACGCGGGGAGCGCTCCCCCCGCGCAATTTGCTCCCCGACTTTTTCGTGGGGACCCCCCTCGTCCAATTTCGCTCCCCGACGGGGAGTGCGAACCTTCCCGAATATCGCGAACATTTAACTGAAAATGGTGGAAGACAGCCGCAACACTTTCAATATTATCTTGTTTTTTGTTTTGAAATGTGAGTATAAGGTGCACTTGAAAGAGAACGACTTAAAAAAAGAAGAAAAATCTTTAAAAAATTGAAATTTTGTTTAAAAAATTAAGCTGAAATGCTCCCCGTTCTTCCCGTCGGGGAACACGGGGAGCGGTCATTCCCCGACGGGGNCTCCCCGCAGGGACCCCCCCCCCGTGCAAAAAATTGCTCCCCGACGAACACTACCTAGGAGAGGGTTTTTCCGTAAACGTTAGTAAAAAGCTGTAACTCATAGTCATTGCCATATTGAACTCAGCACGTTCTGCCATTATGTGAATGAGATGAGTGTCATAATGCAGGCATGTAATGAACCAAAATTAAGATTCTATGTGATGGTGATGGGATGCGGAAAATCGTTCAACATAATGTCGACAGATCGCATATATGTAACAATGCCAATGTATCATAGTTCAGCTGGAATAATTGGTGTTGGACAAGCACTTTTAAATGCTTCTACATGTGTTATTCGAAAAAAATTCTCGGCGAGTAATTTTTGGATTGACTGCATCAATTATGAATGTACTGTGAGTCAATATATTGGAGAGATGTGTCGGTAAGTTGATATTTCGCAGTAATCGATTGCCTCTTTTCACGTTTGAATATGACTGTTGATGTTTCATTTCGTTTTCGCTTTTCTCGAAAAACAACAACCGAGAGAGATCATCGCAACATACTTTTCAAAAGTCATATACGGTATCAGGCAAATGCTCATTCCTGTTTGTTCAACACAATCAGTCAGTAAAAAATTTGATGTCCTTTAAGATGCAATTGTCGATGACTGTAAACGCCTATTTTATTCTGCGGCGAAATTTTTGGGTAGTTCTGTTTTGCTTCCATTTAAACGTGAGTGCATTCTGAAAAAAACAAAGAAAATTGAAGTTTAAAATTATTGTAAGCATGGAAGTTCATAGAAAAGCATCCCGCTGTTTGGTAAAAACCTCATTACGCCATTACAATTGATCAATTTAAATTTCTTATCATATCATCCACAAACAAAAGATGTTTTCAAAAATAAACGAGACAACAATAGAAACAAAGTCAACAGTAAAAAATAATCAAGTGGCGGCAATCTGTACTACATTTTTCATTTCGTTCTAAGAATATCAACATGCTGAACAATTCGTTCGAGAGTCTGGATTGTTTGGCTCTCAGTACATTGTTTCCTAACGAAAACGCAAATGAAGAAAACTTCATTGAATTGTTACGTAACTTATTCGAAGTCACATAACTTAGAGAGCTCAGACGGACTGCTAGTGTTGCCTTAAAGCAGCCATTTGAGATATGTTTGAGTGTTCAACTCGGACCTTTTAGAATAGTAAGAGTACCTAAGTTCGAATTTAGTACTTGTCATCGGGCAATATCTTACAATTAGTGTTGGAACCGACAAACATTTCCTTAAAGTCGGTACCTTGCGGATATTTTTACTTGAATCAGCGGAAGTTTGAAAAAAAGTAGCTCGCTAAATCACCGGCCAAAGAAAATGGCGCAGATGATCGCTACTTTGTGCCGCTAAAAATTATTTTGACGGAAGTTATTATTGCTATTTTCCGCTATGTGAAAATAGTAACGAGTTACTGCGCTACCGAAACAAGTAGCTATCTAGTAGCGGAATAACAAATAGCACGATATTGCCCACCACCGGTTAAATCATATGATCAATTTAGCAAATATTAACTAATGTATTTAATAATAATGATCATTAAATGAGTAATGAAATTGCTGCAATATCTCGTAGAATAAAGAGTGTAAGGGGATCTTTCAGATATTTATTAGCACAAAAAGAAATACCCGAAGAGAAACTTCACAAGGTGCGTTTGATGTACGGTAATGGACTTCGTATTGAAATATGGCGTGATTTCGTAACTCGTTTTCATATCGCTAAAATCGGAGAGTTTTATGGTAGCACCGAGGGGAACTCGAATATTGGTTCATTGTTGCATTATTTGTATTCAATAACGTCCAAGTATTGCTATAGGCTAATAATCATTCAAATGATTCTGTCAAGACAACTTCTNAACAAATAGTTATTTGATTTTGATGATCAATAAGAATATTGGAGGTACCAATCAAGAATCATCATAACAGTCAGTAATGGGCGCTCGCGAGAAAAGATGCTATTCGCTCAGAGAAGAAGAAATGTTTGAGCTGCTGATGCTCATGCTCGTCGGTCATTTTTTGCTCACTGTAGTGCCCGCTCACTGCACATGCCCTCGAATACTAGTTGTGCTCGCGAGTCTCTCATTACTGATTGTAACAATAACAGTTCTTACATCAGTTGTATAGTCGGAATAAATTTTCTTACAGTGAATATCGATAATCGAATCGGCGCATGTGGTTTCTTTCCAGTATATGCCTTTCTTGCGCCTGTATATCCTGTTCGTTTATTGAAGACAGATGAAAAGACAGGTGAAATATTAAGAAATAAGAATGGTTTGTGTATTGCTTGTAGACCTGGTGAAACTGGTGAGATGGTGGGTCTCATAAAAAATAATGATTTACTTCTTAGGTAATTACTTATTTGAACATTCATTTGTTTATCCTTATTGTTAATAATATTATTGCTATCAGTGTCGTTATTATATATCATCATTACTGTTGGTGCATTTATTACGACGTTCTCTTCATTGCACTCGTTTCCACTTAGTCGTTTGTTCATTAGAATCACTTCAGGAAATATTAGTAGTCCGGTGAACATTTAATTCGTTTATCGAAATCATTTCATTTTATAAGAGAGTGAATTGTTTTTCACCGAAAAGAATATCTCGAACATCTGTGCAACAATTTTTTTGGAAATTGACTCTCTCGATATTGTCGAATATAATCGCATTTGATCTCTGTCTTGATGAGTGATCATCTCTGCAACTAGCAGGCAACGTTAATTCCAGGAATGTCTATGCATTTTTGATTATTTTTTAATGGGAAATGCTGCAGGTTTGAGGGTTATGTGAATAACGAAGAAACGAACAAGAAGATCATTAGGAATGCATTTCGATTCGGTGATGCAGTTTTCAGTTCTGGTGATTTGATCTATTGGGATGAGTATGGCTACTTGTACTTCAAGGACCGACGTGGTGATACTTTTAGGTAGTATTCATTTTAAATATTATCATCATCATTGTTATTGCGGTTACACTAGATAATGGACTTTTAAGGCTGTTTTGTTGACTGAAGTTTTTCAACTGCAAGATTTTTTTCATATTTTATTTTTCTGCATGATTTTCACATTTTATCCGTTCTACCGTGTCATCATTTGTTCGTGAGTTTGGTGTGAGATGAGTTTATCGATGCAGTGGTACCAGGCTTGGACAGCTGCCTCTCGGACGATTTCTAGAATCGATTGAAAATCAATCCGAGCGGAAAATACCTCGGCATCATGCCGATAAGTGTTATCACCACAGTGATAAACTTATGTGATAGCATAACTCGGGAACGGACGATGATACGTAGAAAAGAGTCGCATATCTGGAACCGTCGGAAAAGCTGAATCAGAATCAGAATCGATAACAAATGCAGTCCACGAAACATCTTTTATTCAGTATCACCTTTTCCGTTTTTGCGAGTTGTCTTTTGTGCACATATAAGCATGTTCTATTTTATGAACACATTAAATTTGATAATCCATCCGAAATATTTTAATTCTGTTTTGAGAATCACTGCTGATGAAGTCGAGTAGTGATCGCTCAAACATGAAGTTCGGCAGTTGTCATTTTCATTTATCAGTGTCAAACTGAAGATTCTCGAATGTTAAGCTGAGTATTTCAAAAAGCCGGCATTAACGAACTTTTCATATTAAAGATGGAAAGGTGAAAATGTGAGTACAACAGAAGTGGAGGGTATTTTGCAGCCAATCAAAGAACTCTCGAATATCATCGTTTATGGTGTGGAAATACCAAGTTCGTTTGATGATTACCTTATTTTTTGATTGGATCTTTTAAAGAGTCATCATTTTAAACATTCGTCTAATAGCTGCGCAAAATTAATGCCATATGATCTCAACACTCCGTATTGATATTCATTGGAGTGTCTGCTATTTGCTCTCAAGAATGGTCTCGTTCTCAATCCGCAGTTGATATCTGTCCGTTCGAACTTCTGTTCAATTTCTTATCTGCATGCTCATTTGTGTGACATCAGATTGATTGTAAGGAGTTTCACTGATCGATTGGATTAAATTTATGTCATCAACTGACATTCAACTTTGTTTGATATTATGATGTTTCTTCAGCTGTCATTTTTTGTGTTACAGAACAAGAAGGTCGTGCAGGTATGGTAGCGGTAGTCTCAAAAGAGGGTACTTCACATGATGTGAGTTATTGTGCTTAGTTCCTGGTTTTATGTGACAATGAGAGAACTTACTCTTATTTTAGCTGGATGAATGTGTTACCGGGAAGTGAATGAACACAAAAATGATTTAGTGAGTGTCAAACATTTAAGAAAAAACTTGTTTGCTCTTATGAATTCATACGCTTCGAATGATTTATCATTTGTTTATTTCAACTGTCGATCAATACAACTTTCATCAATACACTCTTGAACGTTACCATTGTTCATTGGAATAATGTGCTTATTGAATCGAATTGAGGGATGAATAACTGAAAAAGACATGAAAACTGATTTTGAAAGTTAGGCAAATTTGAACAAATGATAAGTCAAGAAATTGACGAGCAATGAACGGTTTAGTGAACAAGGAATTTTCTTTATTTTATTAGATAAATGATTAACATAACCACTGCATGTGATCAATTTCAGCAACTGATCGACAAAATCTCAAGCCGTCTGAAAGCTAATTTACCTCAGTATGCGATACCAGTTTTCTTGCGGTTTTGTGATAAACTTGATATGACTGGTGAGTAGAAAAGTTTAATAAAACTGTCATGTCATAATCAAAGCTGTCTTCTGATTCTTTGAAGACAATGCATGATAGAATTGAAGTTAAATGTCAATCTCGTTGCCACTTATTTTATTCGCGTCGAACAAAACGCTCGTTTTTTGAACAAAACAGTTTTGCTGATGAATGTAATAAATTAACAACATGTGTAATAAGATAACTGATATTTTACTTTCATCGTACAGCTGACAATGCAATTGTTTTGATTGGAGGTCTTCTAGAGAGGAATTTTGTAATTTATCAATCTGTTTCGCTCTCATGTGACACCTATTATAAATGACTAAACAATACATTCAATAAATTTTGAACAATAAAGCTCAAAGTTTGAACGTTATCGTCGAATAAGTCGAGTAATGAAAAAGTATAAAAGTGGAGTGATTCTCGATATAAGAGAGAGATTGAGCCAGAATACGAATCCACTGACGTAACGCTAACTGCCTCTTTTAACTTTTAAAGGTTTGATCGAAATGTCATTCTCAGTTGCTATTACGGAACAAATTAGGTTCGTTTCGTGGCANACTATAGGAGGTGAACGAAAGAATATTTGAGGAACGTTCAAACTGAAGAAAGTGAACTTACAACGAGATGGGTTCAATTTAGAACGTTGCTGTGATGATGCGATTTACTTGTGGAACAGTTCGAATGCGAAATATATGTGAGTAATTCGACTGATATTCTCCTTTTGTGCATTCAACATTGCAATCGCTCGCCTTTTTCATATCCCGCAAGTATTTGTGGAAATGGGCTAGCAGTGAAAATCATGTTAGGGATGTTGAGAGTTATATATATCGATCCTTCTTTGTTTTCGTGTGAAAGCAATTGTCGAGAGGAAAGTGAAAACTAGCAGTAAATTATGGCAATTAGGATGACTGCCGTAGCCAACAGTCAAAGTCTTTAGGAGTCAATAATGAGATAATCAAATTCTTCGCCTATTCAGGAACTCTTTACCCACTCATATCTCCTCCCCACTGCTGATGAAGAAAACATCTTTACTGATCATGCGATGAAATTTTGAAATCCTTCACTTAAGATGCCCAGTCTGATAATGACGGGGTTTGGTCAACATATGAATCAATCAATTGAAAACTTAGCAGATACGTTTGATATCCTCTTTGAAATCAGAAACCGGGGCTTTAGTAAGAGTTACCTGCATCACCTGCTTTAGTTTGATCAACGAATCTTTCCAGTCTTCCGATATGTAAATCACTCTGTCACTGAAAATAAGCAAAATTCCTCAACATCACATAAAGTTTTCTGATAGTAGAAAATCTCTTCTATGCGCCTTTGCCAAAAAACTATTATATTGCTGGTACGAATATGGTGCTTAAAATATTCCTTAATAACATAGTTGCTCTCATGTCTATTTTGTGAGTTTGCAGAGTTCTAATACGAGTTGTTAAGGGAGGAAACTGTGTTCTGAACTAATATATCCATAAGCAACTCGGAACTGTTTTTTCTGTGGCTTGCCGACTTGACTTGAGGTCAACAAATGTAAAGCGAGTTAGAAGAAGTCTGAAAAAGTAACTCGCTAAAATGCGAATGAAAGAAAATAGCGTAGATTACCATTTCTTTATGCTGCCAAAAAAATTATTGTGGCGAAAGTTATCGCTACAAATTTTCATTATGTTCAAGACTAGGAAGCTACAGCGCTAGCGAAAAAAGTAGCTCCGATGGTAGTAGAATTGCAAACAGAGCGCTATTGCCCATCGGTGAATATATCATGCATTCATCATCATGATGTAGTGTATAGAACATGATAAATAGTTGTTAATAAAAGGGTTTGTATGAATGTTGTTATTTGTAATGAATAAGGAAAAGATCTTGATTTCAGCCCTTTCAATCGACATATGCAAAAGCTTATTGAAGAGGGAAAATACGATCAGTGCTTAAACGAGCATCTTTCTGTTATTTGATTTGGTGGTTACGCAAGATGCATTTCGACTTTGATTTCGCTTATTGCTTTCTATTCATTTCAGCTATCGTCTTTGATCAGTGGATGATCATGTTGTTATATTGTATTGTAAAGATTATTATTTGATTCGTATTGTATAAAAGATTCGTTTTGTGTATTCATTGATACATCACGAAATTGACGGAATCTGATTGACGGTAATCGTCCTTTGTGATATTAATGGATGATATATCACTGCGACTAGGGTTTGCACGGAATGCCGGGATTTCAGTTCTGATCCTGATCTTGGGATTTAAGTTTTGATAAATTGCGGTATCTCGGGATTTGATAAAACAGGCTAATTTGTGTGAATTTTGATAGCATGCCCATCTTGAAGCAAGCCTTAATCATTCCCATCTCATTCATATGCAGTCGTCTTTGCTGTTTGCCCCCTAGCTGAGGAAATAGACGCAAGTTTGACGGATGACATGATGGACGACAGCTCGATGAACTTTTACGTAAAATTTCATTGAATATTCAACTGATTATTCTACTCTTCACTGGTTTATATCACGCTCATCTGGATGCATTTCTCTGTAGACTAACAGATATATCCACCTTTTCTAATAAGAACCAAGAGCAGCGGAGTTCAACGAAATTTTAAGTCGTTTCCTCCCACAAGATTTGTTCGGCTTCAATATACTCCTCCCATCTGTCAATTTAACTGCATGTTCTAAACATTGCAAGTCTTTTTACTTCGCTATTTGAAAACACTTTCATCCAATCGAAATGTACATAAATTCTAATTCTCACTGAGTTCACTTATAGTGAGAATTCACTGTCGAAGTGAGCAAAATTGTTCCATTCAAAAGGATCTTAAGCTTGGATATCAAGTACATTTCCATGATTTGTGATCGAAATTATCAAATATGTAAGTGCTCGATGGTTCGATGTTAATTCATTGCGGATATTTTTTTCACTTTTTAGATAAACTCTGAACTTTTAATTTTATCAAAATTCAAATGATATAATTCATGAGATGCATTTCTTTCGTAAAAAATCTAAATTTCCAAAACGGTAGAATTCAGCTGACGTTAATACTGAAAGAAAATGGACTTGAAGCATTGCAAATAAGTGTTTGAGAATCAAGAATTTCATATTCACGTGAAAGTGTACTGTTATTAGCTTAGACCCGAGATGACAAGATGCCTTATCATAGAAAATGCAGTATACCCTTGCGGCATGATCATCAGCATCATTATATGAAATATTAATTTGAAATTGAATAATTTGGTTTCTTGGATTTATCCAGTAATTTCTTGAATGAACTCCTTTCTGGTTAATAATGAACATTGTGGTTCGAAAAAATGTGTTTAAACATGTTCCGCATCGATATTTCAAAAATTGTTCGATCCGGGATCAAATCCCGATCCCAGGATTGAAAAAACGTCGGGATTTTGCAAACCCTAACTGTGACTATTGCGCTTATGATTGCCAAATATGTTTTGACTGTTAATTTTCATTTTTGGGAAGATATAGGAATACATTCTCTGTTTTTACTCAAATAAAAAATTATATCTGATGATTGATTACCGCATGCGATCGAAGGAAGGTAGCCCTAACAGATGCTGACTCGTCAGATACAAATAATTTATGTGTCTGATGGGATAGGGCACAGTTTTCGCTGACTTCTGTTGGGTATTGGAATTCTTTTCGATAAAAAATACATTCCCCGGGAGAGATGATTGTCCCAATTTTTGCGCTTTGGTCTAAGGTTTGTTGGGATTATAAACAAAAAAGTTTTCACAACGAAACCAAATAAATGCAGAGATGAAACTGGGAGACAGTTGGATTGCAGAAAATGTATAATAAAAATTCAATTCTTTAATTTTTCTCACTCGTGCTGTCTTTATTTCAGATCATTCTGAAAATTTTGAGACTCTTCATTGCATTCTCACTGATAACAATAACAATGTTAAGGCGCAACTACAGGTAATAAACATAGTAGTCCGTTCGATTTAGATGATGTAGATGATGATTTTATAAAGGTCAATGGAACATCATCGAAACTAATATTCGCACAATTTTGAAATATATGTTCCTTGTAAGTGATTTCATGCGTTAGTTCAGAGTATTTTCGAAAAAATCTCGTCATTCCCCATTGCATCCGCAATCCATTTAATTAGCTAGAAGTAATTCGATATTATTCGACCACTGTTGAGGATTAATTCATTAAAAGCCATGTTGAAGTCGATACTAATTCAAAAACGATGCCACCATCATTCAGCAACACAATTCCAGTGTAAAGCTGCACCCGTGTTATTTAAATTTACTATTAGTTCATTTTCATTGGTGATTATCATTGAAGCTGAAATTTTTCGTCGGGGCCGACCGAACTGCCCAGCCACGTTGGTAAAGATTGCATCTTGCAATAAATAACAGAAGAACGAAGTGAAACCCTTTTAGAAAAGGAGCATACCACAGGCTGGTCAGGTCTGTGACGTAGGACAGCCTTACACATACTACACCACCTCGTAGTATTAGATCTAATTAGTGATGCGTTTTATGGTTCGTGTCAGCGATCGTCAACAAAAACGTATGGACATAATTAGAAAAGTGTTATGAATGACAGCATGGATGGATGTGCGTAAAAGACCATTTTAACAACAAGATAAACATTAGCTTTCATCAGCGATGCTCACATTCAAATGTTCCCATTTTGATTAAACATCATCACTGAAGAATACTATCATATTTCATCTACGTGATAATGTATCAATCTCGCATATATGCTTCATTACTCAGTTGTGACATTCATCATCGAGCTGTCTGTTTCGTTTTGCTGTTGCGTTGTTACACAGCAATTTTTAGCTATTTTATTCCAAAGCAATTTTGTTCCGAAATATTCTTTTTGGTCTATATTCTTTAAAAGACTTCGAACACTTCGAACAATTTCACTTTCAGACTTCTGATGTACAAATGTTTCCACTTTGAGCAATCATCATGACTAAATAAAATTGCTGAAGACTGGTCAAAATGAATTTTGCAATTATAAAATGTGAAGCTCGTTAATCATGGAGCAATTTTTTGGCTGGGAAAGCAATTGGTCTGAGTAGAAGTGGAGGCGGGGGAGGGGGAGCGGGGGAGGGAGGGCGGTGGGGACACGAACCAAAAAGTCGTTGGAAAAACTGCGTAGGAGTAACTTCCAATCGGAATCTCCGTTCACCGATAAAAAACATTTGGTTGTGCTGAAAATATGAAAACTAACCCAGCATCAGCTTTCAGAAGTTCACGGAATTTTGATTTGAGACTGGTTTCTGCTCTTTAATTTTCATCAATCGGTTGATCAGTTGTTCAGGTCCTGTTCAAACTGTTGTCACGAGCAGAGCCTGAAATTGCAACGTTGACGTGCTGTGCTTTTCCTGTTTTTCTGAGGTTCACTGATAGAGTCATTGATCAAAAGATCAATAGTTATCATTACTTACATCCGCTTTATAACTGAACAATCCTATAATGTACCATCTGTCACTCACCTGTTCCCTTCAGCATAATCACTCCCACAATTAACGTAGTTCAATACACATTTCTCGTTGACGTTTCCTAGGGGAAAAGTACGCGAGAAAGCAAGTAATTATAGATAAACTTCAGCTGAAATTCATTCAATTCGAACGATTCTTCATAAAGGAACGAGCTTCCGCCTTAACTCTGGAGAGCACTCGGATTCGACATAGATTTGTTAATGAAAACAAACTTTTTTGTATTTTGCAC